TGTTAGGTCCTGAATTAGTCAAGGAAACGACAGAGAATGTCGTACTTATTCATAAGAGGTTGGTTTCGACTCAGAGTCGTCAGAAGAGCTATGACGACCGTAGGAGGAGACCGTTATCTTTTGAGGTAGGAGATCATGTATTCTTGAAAATATTGTCGAGACGGGGTTTGATGAGATTCATTAAGAGTAGGAAGTTGTATCCTAGATTTATTGGGCCTTTTGAGATTCTAGAGTCGATTTGGGAAGTAGCTTATCGTTTGGCCTTGTCGCCCCAACTTTTTGGGGTTCATGTCGTGTTTCATATCTGTATACTCCAAAAGTATGAACTTGATCCTTCAAGTGTGCTGGATTGAACCAAGTTAGAGGTAGATAAGGATGCCTCATACGAGGAGAGACCGGTACGGGTTTTAGATACTCGGGATCAAGTCTTGCAAGGCAAGATTATTCCATTAGTTAAGGTGTTGTGGCGACACCATAAGGTTGAGGGGGCGACATGGAAGCGTGAGGCGAAAGTCCGTGAGAAGTATCCGAACTTATTTGTTAATATTTGAAACTTGTATTGAAAATCTTATTCATGTTGTGAAATGTAAACATTGTAAATGTTTTAGAAAGTTGAATTGTAATATTTGGTGTAGAAAGACTCTGTTTGTCATTGTTACAAGTATGGATGATCAATGGTTTAAATTAAAATCCGATGATTTTTGGTTTGAGTTAAATTTCGGGGACAATATTCCTTAAAGGGTGGGAGATTATAACGATTCCGATTTAGACCTGACCCATTTCTTACTTTTGAATTTAGGAATCCATATCCTTAATTGTTATTTATTTCATTTTTTTCTTGTTGCTGGTTGAGTTTAGTTGTTTAAAAGTTATTGTTGCGTTTGGAACAGGTTGAGAGTTAGTTTTTCAAAGAGTTGTTGCCTAGATTTTTGCTTGTTCGCTTAATCAGTTTTTGAGATCTCCCAGTATATTTTGAAGGTCTGCAAAACTTCTGGAAGTAAGGTGTCTGTCACTCAAGCGATCTTTCTTGCACTCAAGTGGTCTTCTTCGGTCTGTAAAACTTCTGGGAGGGGGTCATTATGTGCTCGAGTTGTCATGACTCGAACCCACCCCTAAAGGTTTGGATCACAACCGGCCAGTAATCACGAGATTATCTACGGCCTCAGACAAAAATCAAATCATATATAAAAATATGGGGCCAAAAGCGGAAGCAAAAATATAAAGTTTGTCCAATGAGCTTGTGCATAAATAGCATGAAACAAAAAAAAAAATTCTATACATTAATAATAACTCACACCATACATACTAAAAGTAGCATCTTGCTTGTCCAGGGTCAAACATCTATTGTCATACAGAAGCTAAAGCTTATGAAGAAACTTAGTCAGACATAACCAAAAAGGAAACAAAAAGCAAAAACGAAAGAACAAAATAAAAGCCTCGTGCTTGAGGTGTCACGCCCCACATTTTATTACTCGGAATTCATTACCAAAGCCATTTTCATAAATTCCATTTCAAAGATAGCATACAGAAGCTCATAATAATTACAAAGAATACGTGAGAAAGAATCCTCTCATTCGAATATAAAATGAGTGCAACATGAGATTATAATAAAATAAATTGCCCGTGAGCTTATATTATTTAAATCAAGAGGAAGGGTTTAACCCTTTTACATCAATGGCAACCGCCTACACATAAAAGGCCTCGTGGCCACAAATAAGGAAGATCCATGACCTTGTAGCACATCTTGCTATTCACCCAAAAAAAAGATTAACAACATGGAATGAACATATAGTCCAGCACGGGTCTCAACATGATCCTCAACAATAACAACTTACAGATAGCTATGATCATGAATGCTCGTCTCATACCATATGAATAATGTGACATTCTATAATCAAAGTATACTCACATAAATACCCTTTTTTTTTCTTTTTCTTTTTTTTTCAAACGTTCAAGTCTCATAGCATTCAAATGTTCAAGTCTCATTTTTTCTCAAAAAATGTCACATTATGTGTAATGACTATATGTGAGAAAAAATGCTATACATCCAAAATTGCTAAATAGATCATAAGAAAAAATATGAGACTATATGGATCATAAGTTCAAAATATGGGACTTATTGACAATTTATAATGACTTTTTAACTATTTTAATCCTCGTTCAAGTCTCATAGCATTCAAATGTTCAAGTCTCATTTTTTCTCAAAAAATGTCACATTATGTGTAATGACTATATGTGAGAAAAAATGCTATACATCCAAAATTGCTAAATAGATCATAAGAAAAAATATGAGACTATATGGATCATAAGTCCAAAATATGGGACTTATTGACAATTTATAATGACTTTTTAACTATTTTAATCATTTCAAATGAGGCCTTGAGTAAAATATTTGAGATGCTCTAAGGCAATTTTTTTTTTTTAATGGAAAAATTACATTCAGTCATAATTTGAAAAGATAATTACAAATTCATAAAAAAATATAATTTTAATTATTATTATTTATATATATTGATATTTTTTATTTTTTTTATTTTGGGCGGTTGTAAGTAACCGAGGCAAAGCCGGTGAACCTATCTATCTTGAATGATTTGACCTCTCTGTTTGGTGATCGATGGGTGATGACCATTTCAAACCCTTCGTACAGACAGAAAGCCCAAAACATGTTAATACGTTCAATAATTTCCATGATGATGATGATGATTTCAAAATCTATGTGAAGAAGAACCAACTATTCTACGAGCGTGGAAAGTTTTCCAGAGGCTAGGTTTTTTGGAACCAAGAAGACGAACGATGCGAATTTCCTCTTCTGGAACACTACTTTCGTGAGTTTCTCTCAATTCATACCTATTTCGTGTCGGATTTGTTTTTTGTTTTTTTGTTTTTTTGATCTTGTGGAACATTATTCTTATTTGTTATTGGGTTGGGAATTTGCAAAATTGTGTACAGTGATAAGTGAAAATCTTATTTGATATGAATGATTGGGCCAAAGGCTATTTGACATAAATGATTGGGCCAAAGTCTGTTTGACATGAATGAATTGGGCCCGAGGTCGTCTGTTAAGAATTAAATAGGCCATTGGGCCAAGGGTCGTTTGATGTGAATGATTGGGCCAAAGGTCGTTTGACGTGAATGATTGGGCCAAAGGCCGTCTGTTAAGAACGAAATGGGCCAGAGGCCGTTCGATATACATGGGCTTGAAGTCGTTTAATGTTCCAGATGGAAACATGAATGGGCCCAAGGCCGTTTGATATATCTGTTTCAAATTTTATTCATGAATCCTCTTTATTTGATATTATTCATTGGGCTTTCGCTCACTCTCATTCATGTGCATGTAGATAAGCAAAGAGATATCCAAACCCAGCCTTAGTGAAGTATGTGAGGAAAGTTAAGTTTTGTGGAGTCAACCCGTACGTCTCACGCATGAGACACTGTTTTGTTCCTTTTGGTTTCCTCTTTTGTTATCTTGGTGAATATGTCGCATCACCTTTGTATATAAGCTTTTGGTTTGACTGACTATGACTTAAGTGTTCCTGTATGGACAAAATTATATGTGTTCTTTCTTTTTTCTGTGGGTTATTAATACACATTTGTGAAATGTTATAATGTGCCATGTAAGCATAGCTCTGTGGACAAAAAATTTTAGTTTGTTTCCGTTTTGGCCTCTTAACTCTGTTGAAATATGTTTAATCAAGTTTGAGGCCGTAGGTAATCTCTTGATTACTGGTCGGTTATGACCTTAATCCATAGAGGCAGGTTCGGGTCATGAAAGTTAGAATCCAAGCAAGAAAAACATTAGGAAAGCAAATGGGCAAGAGCGTTATACCATAGTTACACACTTTTTATATAGGTTATAGATTTGATGTAATATATTTATAATCAGAGATATTTATTAATAAATCCTATGTTACAAATAAGTACTCCAATTAGTTCTAAATTTTTTTTATTAATCTGTTAAGTCCTATTAGTGGAGAGTTTTTCACGTATAGTCTTATTTTCAATTTTGGTAGTGTTTTGGTGGACGGCTATACACTTTTATTAATTTGGTAGGAATGATGTGACACTCCAATGTGGCAAGTATTAATATGGCAATCCAACGTGGCGGGTATAATGTGACACTACAAAAAAATGAAAAACTCCTTAGCATTTTTTTTCTAAATGTGACAATATGGTGAGTATGATGTGACATTCTAAAAAAATTAAAAAAATTTTAGTGTACTTTTTTCTGAATATAACATGTGATGCTCCAATGTGACGAGTATTATACAACACTCTAAAAAAATTAAAAACTCCTTAATGTACTTTTTCTAAATGTGATGACGTGACGGGTATGATGTGATGACTAAAAACTCCTTAATGTGTTTTTTCTAAATGTGACAACGCAATAGGTATAGTGCGTGTGACACTCCAAAACAACTAAAAAAATGCTTAATGAACTTTTTCCAAATGTAAATCTAACACTCCAACGTAAGGGGTAGATGTGACACTAAAAAAAATTAAAAACTCCTTAGTGTATTTTTTTCCAAATGTGACACTCCAATATAACAAGGTATGATATGACACTAAAAAATTTCTTAGTATACTTTTTCCAAGTGTGGCACTCCAATGAGGCGAGCAAATGAGTCATTATATATATCAAAAAAGACTAAATAGATCATAAGAAAAAATAGAGACTATATGAATCATAAGTTCAAAATATGAGACTTATTAACAATTTATAATGACTTTTTAACTATTTTATTCCTTTCAAACGAGGCCTTAAGTAAAATATTAGAGATGCTCTAAGGCAATTTTTTTTTTATTTATTTATTTATTTTTTTTTATGGAAACATTACATTCAGTCATAATTTGAAAAGATAATTACAAATTCATAAAAAAAATTATAATTTTAATTATTAATATTTATAAAATTTATCACAAATTAATAATTATATTATTACTATTATTTATAAATATTGATATGTTTTTTTTATTTTGGGCGGTCGCATTGGCGAGTAAGGTAACCGAGGCAAAGCTGGTGAACCTATCTATCTTGAACGATTTGACCTCTCTGTTTGGTGATCGATGGGCGATGACCATTTCAAACCCTTCGTACAGACTGAAAGCCCAAAACATGGAAATACGTTCAGTGATTTCGATGATGATGATTTCGAAATCTATGTGAAGAAGAACCAACTGTTCTGCGAGCGTGGAAAGTTTTCCAGGGGCTGGGTTTTTTGGAACCAAGAAGACGAACGATGTGAATTTCTTCCGGAACACTACTTTCGTGAGCTTCTCTCAATTCGTACCTATTACGTGTTGGATTTGTTTTTTGTTTTTTGTTTTTTTGGTCTTGTGGAACATTATTCTTACTTGTTATTGGGTTGGGAATTTGCAGAATTGTGTACAGTGATAAGCGAAAATCTTATACAAAAGATAAAATCGTTTTTTCGAGAGTTGAGATTCTTGCAAGAACAAGTTCTAGTTCAGTTTTGGAAAGCCCTAGAATTTGGGGGCGGGTATTTACTTACTACAAAAGACCAGCCTTTCGGTCTTAACACTACCCACGAAGGACTCTGTTCCTATAGATTGATATCTGTGGATTATCAATTTGATGTGGATGGGGAGAGTGATGAATGCCTTGGCCTCCCAGGCCGTGTGTTCAAGTATCAACGGCCGGAGTTTACACCAAATGTGCGGTATTACTCCTGCAAAGAGTATCCACAGCGCGATCGTGCTGTCAATAGCGATATTTGGGGATCTTTGGCTTTGCCAGTGTTTGATGATATTGGGTGGGGTTGTGTTGGTGTACTTGAGTTAGTGACTAGTGCTGAAATGAAACATTGCATTAGTCTTTTCAAACATTGGATCTGCAATGATCTTGAGGTTTGTCCCCTATCTCCCTAACCCTAATTGAAATAATCTGTCCCATTTTTATTTTCTCTTGTTTTCTTCTGTTTCTAGTGTTGGACCGTATGCATTGCTGCTTTAGACATAAAATTATGTTTAGAAATAGAAATAGCCTATTCCAAGGTAAGGTACAACTGTGTGCAGAACCCGAGTTGGCTTTGACAATTATACATTGGTGGCAACCTAAGTTGGTCTGTTAATACCCACAACTGTGCTAATTTTTCCATTTTGGGTATGCAATGTATGCTTCTTTTAAATATCTTTCATTTCATATCTGTCAAGAATCTTTAGTTACATCATTTGAGTTTCCCTGCAGGCTGTTGGTTTGAGAAGCTCAAGAACATGTAATTATTCGTATTGTCAGCATGTAAGTCAAGCCTTAATTCAAATCTCAATTCTTTTATTGTTTTCTTCATTAGATTTCTATAAGGACTGGGATTGTGGTCTCACAAATATCTATTCGTGAAAATACTTTCAAATTATTATCAGGATGAGGATAAAGCTCTTGAGATTGCACTGGTTGAAATCAGGGTGGTGCTGGAAGTGGTGTGTAGAACTCATTTTCTACCTTTGGCTCAGACTTGGATCTTGTGTCGGCCTTGTAGTGCTGTTGCCTATGATGATAGCTTCGGAGTAAGTTGCTTGGAACAACTCACATCCATAATTGATGTAGTCTGTCTGAGGGAGAAAGATAAGTTTCCTTTCTCAAATGCATGTGCTTCGCATCACATACGAAAGGGGCAGGGAGTTGTTGGTAGGGCATATTCGTCCAATAAGTTGGTCTTCTGCAAAGATATTACTCAATTTAGCATAATTGAGTACCCCTTGGCACATTATGCACACGAGTATGGACTTGCGAGCTGTTTTGCAATTTGCTTGCGGAGTAGTTATACTGGCGACAATGTTTACGTAGTAGAATTCTTTTTGCCTCCAAGTAACACTGAAGGTGAGGATCCGATGATCATTGTGGTTCCGTTATTGACAACAATGAAACAACATTTTCAAAGTTTTATGGTTGCTTCTGGAGAAGAACTAGGAGAGCAGTTACCTATTGAAGTTATTGATCTTTCAAAGGATGATAAGCTTGATTCTTTACCCCAAATTGCAAGGTCCCCTGCAGATAGGATGGAGATTAAAGGGCAGATGGAGTGGCAGGATTTATCAGATCAACAATTAATAAAAATGGATACTATATACACTGGAAATGATGTTGTTAGTAAAATAGAAAAAACCAACAATGTTGTTGCTTCCTCATTTAAAAAATGCATACCTGACTCATCCCAAAGACAATACAGAAAAGCTGGAATTCAAATTAGTTTTGAGGATATTCAACAACGTTTTGGAATGAAACTTAATGATGCTGCAAAAAGCCTTTGCGGTAAGCTTACATTCTTGGGAAAATTGTCACTAGCTAGATTCTTTGGGAAAATCCATATACTTTTCGTAGTAGCAAACATAAAGTCTGTTCTTCTTATCTGTGTTGTTGCTTTTGTAGTTAGCCGATCTACGCTGAAGCGTGCTTGCAGGGAATATAATATCTCTTGCTGGTCAACTCGCAAGAGAAACAAGGAGAATGAGACTCTTTCCAATAAATTTGTCCAAGTTGCTGCTCCGGATCAAATTCGACAATCTAGTCAGTCTTCAATTTCTGATCCTTCTCATAGGAAATACTTGGCTACTGCTGCTCCCACAGAGCTACATTTTATGGCAGCACAAGCTACTAGTATTGTGACCTTGAAGGTAAAATATGGAGATGATTATATTAAATTTCAGTTCCCTGTGTTGTCGGGAATGGTAGAGTTTCAACAAGAAGTGGCAAAGAGGCTGAGCTTAAAGGCTGGAGCTTACATTGTCAAGTATCAAGATGATAACAATGATTGGATTTTAATAGCTTGCGATGAAGACCTGCAGGATTATATTTGTAATTCGAGATCACTGGGGAGGAATACAATCAAAATGTTACTTCAGCCAATTAGTAATTGCTCACCTTGAATTCCTTCTGAGTAATCTTTCTATCTCTTTAGTTGCATGTGGAATTCCCTAATTTACGAGCTTTTTGGTGTACAATTTATTAAAGAATTCCTACTTATTAAAAAGAATAAATTCAAGTTTCATCTCTTATATGTTTTTTTACGAGTTTGTGTCAATTTTAATTTTTTTTTATTTATTACAAGTTGATAAATATCTGGCCATTGGGTTTCTTTACTAATTTAATATCTGGTTACATAATTTTGGTGCAATACATTTGAAAATAAGTTTATATATTTGTTGCCATATGATTGAGGAAGCTATGATCTACTTTGCTAGGCACACGCCCATTTACACCCATTGCAGAAGCTGTGAAGTTTATATTTTCACTTTCTACGGGTGTGTGTTGGGAAGTGTAAATGGGTGTGTACCTATCTTTTCTCAGTTGTGATTGCAGGAGATCCTTAACAAAAGGTGATGATGGACACTACATGTGTGTTTCTGGTCATATATGTTACTTTTTTGGGGGGTCAATAAATAGGAGTATTTACAATATGCTGAGAATTCTAACTGGATAATCATAGTCTAACAGATATATAGTCCCAACAAAGAGCCCTATAATGAGGAAGAAACAAACAACGCAACAAAGCCCCATAATAAGGGAGAAATTATCAATCTTTGTATTTAGTAAGGATTGACCTTGACTTCCCATACAGAAATGTGCAGAGGTGGCCAACAGATTTAGTCCTGTTAGTTGGTCATACATGTTGCTTAAAGGAGTTAAAATATGACAAAAGTAGGATGAAGTAACCATATTGTTCTGCGTCTATTAATGAATTGGTTGAGGTTTGATTGGAGCTGGATTTTGGTATGAAACGGATGGATACAGCCTTTCTTTTGGGTGTGGGTGTGGGTGTGGGTGTGGGTGTGGGGCTTAATAAATAAGGCTAGGGTTTGAGCTTTGAATAGTTATGTTTTTTAGATCAATGTGGGTTTTAGTCTTTTAGAACGCCTGATTGTAATTGCTAATTGTGTACAGCAATGTTGAACGTCATAATAGAAAAAGAAAGATTAAAACAAGAAAAGAAGAAAAAAGTAAAGAAACCTTAGAATATCCTCACAAAAAAGAAATCAGTGTGAGTCTCACTACGAAGAGAGCAAAATTGGTTAGAATTATTATTAATCAAATTTGTTGAACTAGCATTCGCTTGCTTGTGTGAAAGCATATAAATTTTCCTTATAAACAATTTATGGCTGAAGTCATTCCAGATAAGGACTAGATGAAACCCATAACCAAACACTTGATTAACCTGGACTCTAGATTAACACATTAATAGGTCCTAATAGTTAGACTTAATTCTCATCAAGTCCTATTGAAAAAAAGTCTTAGTAAAATCATTGCTAAAAATAACAATATTTGCATGTCGGTAAAAATTGATAATTAGTGACTTTTTTTTGTCACGGTTTTTATAAATTGTCGTTAAAACTTACAATTAATGAATTTTTTTGTGACGAATTTTTCAAATTGTCACTAAAAGTAAAAAATTAGTGACTTTTTGTGACGATTTTTTTAAACTATTACTAAAACTTATAATAGTGACCTTTTTGTGACAATTTTCAAACTGTCGCTGAAAATTAACAATTAGTGATGTTTTTTAATAGTGTTTCATGAAAAACGCTATTAATTATCATAAGACTTATTGGACAATAAATTCACCTATTAGGACCCACACGTAAATCCGCCCATGTTATTAGTGAACTAATCCTTGAAACACCTATTGTAGCTACTTGCTGTTGATCTTCTGTTTTAATCTTTGTAATTACTGTGGGTTGAAGTTAATGGGTATTGGGTATGAAGAGCTTAGTGGTACATGCTCTGAGGAATATACTGTAATTGAGTGAGTTACTGAATCTTTAATTGAGTTTTTCAATGAAAAAGCGTGATTTTGCGTCAATGAAAAGTAATATTGATATTTATTATATTAATAATAATCTATATCTAACCACCCGGAAATTCTTGTATGTTTAAGATGTAAAGATCAGGTCAGCCAGCTAGTTGCCTTGTTTTTAATACTTGAAACCTGTTATCTTTTTTCGAATCACATGTGGAAGTTTGTTATGAGCCATAATTCCTTGTAAACCATATAGCATGGGGAAGTAATAATATTTTTAATGTTCAGCTTGACATCAAAACCCTATAGCATGGGAAAATAGTACCATTCCCAATAAGTATGCTTCTATAATTTTCTGTTTGAATCAATTTGAATCAAATGTATGCGCATCATGTACTCAATTCCTTCCAAGTTCCAATTAATTTGATGTGTGAGTAGCAGCTTCCATTCTTGCTGGAATGCTTGACAATATTGTTTCATTGCAATTTTGTGGTGGCAGGACAAAAAAGGTATTTGCAGTTTTTAACTACTTTCATGTTGGACCATGTCATATTTGTCACTAAATTAAGTTCTTTATCTCTTTTGTTTATAATATCTGTATAATAAGGCAGGAGGGTTTTTGAAAAATCTATCAAAATGTATTAGAGATACAATTCTGATCAATGGTTGAGATCAATCTAAGTGTACCTACCAACCAATTCTTAACAATAGTTGAGATCAATCCTAAAATGAACAACACGTACCAAACAAGCTTTTGTTCCCGCCCAAATTAACAACACTCCCTCCTGTCACGCACCCCTCTCTTTCGCTCCTTCTTGATTTCAAATTTAAAACTCTCTCGTTTCTCTCTCAGATTTGTTGTTTCCTTCATTCCCCCATCAGAGCTCACTCCAGTAAGTTATTTCTCTCAGATTTTGTTGTTTCACTCCTCTCCTTTCTCTCTCAGCTTTTGTTGTTTCAGGTTTTAATGTTATGGTTTGGTGTGTTATTGTTCTTTTGGGAATCTCTTCTCCTGGGTGGTAATTACAGTAACTTATTTATATCAGCAAGAAGTGGATTCTGAGGGTGGGTTCCTCTGCTTATGGGACTGATCTCATTTCATGTTTGAGCATTGAGAGCATCCCCTCCTTGAAATTTATATTTTAAAGTTGCCCTTTTGTTCTCTATTCTATTAAAAGTATGTAGAAATTCAAACCTGTCTACAACTCCAGATACCGATTATTCTTTATTTTTCCTTTTCCCTGCCTCTATTACATTAATTTTGTTTCCTAGCTCTTTGATTTACATATTATGATGAGAAGGTCGACCAATTGTAGCTCTTTTTTATTTTTTAGATAACTAAATGAAGAATTCTGTTTGAAATCAAAATTATAGCGCTGATAGGAAATTGACTGACTGGAATACAGGGAGAAACTGAGCCTGGGCGCAAAAATACTTTTCCTGATGATGGTTTATCAGACAGACTTATGCCACTGGGACTCAGGTATGTGTTCCATCAGTGCAATGGTATTTTAAAGTGCGTAGGTTTCTTCATTTTTAATTCAAAAATTTTAAATGGCAAAGACGATTCAAACTCCAAGGTTTATTTGGCAACACAACTCACATTTTTGTTCATTGGTTTTCAAATAATTTTTTCTTCCATGTGTTTGTTTGTTTTTTTTTTTTTTTTTTTTTTTTTTTTTTTTTTTTTTTTTTTTTTTTAATTCAATTGGCCTTCCATGTGTTTTGTATTAGCCACAATTGGTTGCACATGAAATGCTTGATAAAAAGATTCAGTTAGAAGGATCATTTGCTGACAGATGTATTATCATGTGCAACATGTCTCCTATTTTGGACTCTATAACCTTTGTACACTTGAGAAAAGTCAAATATCTATATTCAAACATATTATTATGATTTGTGAATAAGGTACTGCAAGTCCAAGGAAAAATCAAACACTAAATTTTCATTATTGATGAGTTCGTTTTTTAACTTTTACATTTGATTCATTGTTTCTAGATTTATAGTTGTTCATTTAGGTGTTTGTTGTGTGGTTAGTTCAGTTTATAGTTATAGCAAATTTTGAAATATTTCTCTCTTATGTTTGGTTAGAATGGTTTAGATAATCCCAACTAAAAAGTCAAGGGTTGAGATTTTTTTCACTCTCTCACTGTTCCCATTTCTCTCTTCTTTCTCACCATACCTCTTCTATCTTCTATCGACTCTCTCTCTTCTTTTCCTACACCTACAACACTGTTGTTCACCCCTAAGCCATCACCGACTCTGTTCGCCTCACATGTGCCTCCTCCGCATCCCCTTCATTCCCTGCTAATGATGTCGCCACCAGTGGCAATGGATGCCTCCCAAACCTCAAGCCTTTTTTTTTTTTTTTTTTTATCTTTATCTAAAGAGTAGTATCATTTTTCCCATTTGTTTTCTTTACACCTTGCCTTTAGGCATGGGCATACTCTAGTTATACTATAAATCAAGTCTTATCACTCTTCAGTTTTTTCCTAATATATTTTAGTTATAAAAAGCTTTAACCTTTATGTGAGTGAAGCGAAAGCTTTTAAAATTGTCTATATATATTGGTTTATGAAATATTTGAAGTATCTTTCCGTCATCCAAGATTTTAAAGGAGACTTTAGGATCAGGTTTTCATGATATCCTTCATCAGATAAAATTTGAACTCTGTTCTTGTGTTTGCCTTGTTTGTCTTGTTATCCTGAAAAAACAAAGTGTAGCATCAGTTTATTAATGACTATTGTATTTTTAATGCAAATGCTATATGCAGATGGGTTTATAGGGTATTAAAACTTGTCAAATCAAAGACACGAAAAGGATGAAATTTGTTTTTGGTTTACTAATCCAAAAATAATAAATACTGTTTTCCCCCCTTAAAAGCATATTGTTGACATTTTTTGGGCCAATTTGGTATCATAGTATCACTTATAACTTAGCGTTTATGATTATAGCTTGTAAGATTATTAACTTAAAAGGCTTAAAGTAAGTTGTGAATCTGTTTGGTGTAGCTTTTGATAATCTGTGAAAAAAGTTGAACATGTTTGGTTAAATAAGTTATCACATAATTTTTTTTGTTGTGCAAATATCAGGCATACCCTCAAAAGGTTTATCCATATGTATCCAAATTGGGCTCCTTTGTCCATATATATTTACTTGCTACAAACATTTTCCTGATTGACTCAAGCATTATTGCCAGTGAAGTTGGTTATGGTTCTACTGGATTTTCAAGGTTTATTCTTGCTTTCTAGTCGTAAATATATATTGTCAATTTGTCATTGCATTGCGTGGCTAGGATATTACTCGTTATTATTTTCAATTTTGACTATACTCAGCTAGGATATTAATTAGATTAACTTCAGAATTAATGGGTCAGTCTTTTTTTGAATTTTTAGAAAACTATGGGCTTGGATTATTGAATTATAGTTCTATCAAGTTGGTAACTGAAGGATTTTTAAGTGAACTTCAAATGTTCAAGAAGCATTCTCATTACTTTTAACTTCACTCTCCTGCCCCTGCGCGCATGCTCCAAAAATAAGTCAGATAATTGAAGCCCAATAAAATTAGCTTAGCAAGCCTTAATCCCAATTACTCGGTGTTGGCAACATGGGTCCATATTCTTTAGTTAGCTTAGTCATATTGGGTTATTGCACATTGTACATTTGACCTTTGATTCTTCCATTTTATATAAGTCTAAATAGTGTTTCAGTATTTTGTTGGAATATTTCCTTGAAATATATTCTACGAAAGTGTACATAGCAATTTGTATTTTTCATTGGCATTGAAGTATATTCAACAGAATATCTGTTTGGATCAATTTTTGGTCATTTCTCTTCATATAGTCAGGCTTTCAGGTTTTATTTTCTCCTCTTGTTGGTCTTCATGCATAGAAGTTTGTTAGTTACATTGTTTTGTAGGTTTGTTTGTTTGCTTTCTTGCTAGTGCACCCGATGTTCACACTCTTGCATCCTATCGAATCTTATTATGTCTTGGATACCCCCATCAATGGTTCTCATCTTGAAGTTTGGCCAGATTCTGGTGAGAAGTTTTATGAAGGGGACTTTCGCCCTAATGATATCTCGTGTTTTATTTCTATTCTTTCCTGTGATAATTGAACGTCATGCTGCTTCGCAAGGGCAAAGAAAGTAGGAGGAGGATTGTTTACAAAAACAGAAATTATGTTAAATGAAAACAAATTTCAGTAAATTTGATTTCATTTTTTTTTAAGCTTGATTAGAAGTTGGACCCACACCCACTTTAATTTGTTAGTATAAAATCATATGAAATGAAGGCAACATACTCTTTGGTTTCAAAGGTCTCAAACTTACGCTTAGTTAGGATTCCTAGAATGGCCTTATGGACATTTTTTTTTCATGTGATATGAGTAGTTGCCGTAGCCTTTTGTCTGTGCCTGAACTCTTTGTTAATTCACATATTCTGTGATCACCACCAGTGACTCGTTATTTATTAGACATTGTTAAATGGTAAACATAACTATAGACTACTGCCAAACCACTCTCGTTTGTTCAAACCTGTACGTCTGAATTGGAGTAATTTTTTCAAACCTAAACTTTTCTAAAGCAACTTATGATGCTGGTTTTCTAATTGTAGACAAGTTTATGAACTACGTATGGTATTATGGTTTCACATGATATTGAACTTTCGGTGTCTTAGGTTGTGAATCATTAGCTATATATTGAATTGAATTCACATTATGGTTTCACATGATATTGCCATTGAATTGATTTTTGCCCTCTTGTTGATTATATAAATCTTGCGGATATAATATGGATATTGAGCATAGTAAACGTTTGCCACCTACTGCTGCGAATAGAAGACATCGTGCATTGGATGTTAAATGTGGCTGTGGTCGTAGCGGTGCTTTAGCAGATAACCAAGATGCACCAGATAACGATATGCCGGATATTGTCACGGAAGATGAAGCTGTATCGGATGATGTTACTCACGAGGAGGCAGCTCAACCTTAACTGGGACCTAAAACTAAATTTAAATGAGGCCTTTATAAATTTTTACATTGTAATTGTCTGTATAATTTTTTTTTTTTCATTTTTAAGTAGCAAAATTAGTAATTAAATTTATGTATTCAAGTTTTGCTAATATACACAATTTGTATTTTTAGAATTGATTGTTAATGTAACAGTACACAGAATCAATTATAAAATTAACCATAGAATCATGTGCTACAAAGCTTTTGTGGTTGGTTTTGTGACTAATATTTCTCTAAAATTTTCTTATTTACATGAATTTTTTTATAATTATAATAATAATAGTAATCATGTGCTACAAATTATAAGCCACAAAAGCTTTGTAATCATGTGCTACAAATTAAAACATCTGCGATAATGATGTTTTGGATGGTTATGTTTATGTGAATGGAACATTATGAATAATAATAATTATTATTATTATTATTATTTTTGTAAAAAGAGAGACCTAATGATAAAGATCTTATGTTTTTATTGAGATATACAATGATGAAGCCTTTTTAATGTATGACATATTTTTTCTTTGTATTGAATAGTTGATTTTATGATGGTTTTTACTTTTCTCCTCTCTTTCTTGGTCATTTTTTTGTTTTGATACAAAGATGGTAGAATCATTTTTTGTTGTTCTGCACAAAGCGGATTTGCATCCCTGGGTGCAAACATATTTATGTGAAAGGAATATTGTGTGCGAATATATATATGTATATATGTGGATAATTATGGTTATGCTTATGTAAATGCACTCTTGTAATGCTTACTTTATTCTTACAAATTATGGAACGAACATCTGTGATAATGATGTTTTGGATGGTTATGTTTATGTGAATGGACATTATGATGCTTATATTTACTAATGCAAATTCAATAACATAGTACAAATAAAAAAGTTAGTTAAATTTTATCATAAATAAAATTATATATCAATCAATAAATATAATATCAAATGTCTTTCGAGTAACTACATTGTGATTGATGTATGATGTCTTTAAAATGTTGAACACGTCGAACATATGCTATATTCCAGTCATCTGCTCAAGAGTGATGGTATCGTCACCAATTGGTCGATATGAGAGGAATTGGATGATCTGATTGCAAAAAAACTTACAACAAAATGTAAAAATATCAATTATAACTTAAAATTATATACAACTAATGGACAAATTAATAAATACAAACAAGATTATACCTATACAAAATGATTTTCGTTAACAAACTCGATGGCAATCTCACGAAGCTCAAGTCAAGATATTGGCACTATTCTGAAATGTAAAATGGGGAGAAATTGTTATATAGATAAATAGTACAATACAACATTATAGCATGACGTAACAAGATGTCTCATATCTGATATAGTCATCCAATGCTCATAGTCAAGGTTGTTTTCAAAGTATGACATGATCTGTGTCAGCGCCTCAATCCTTTCTTATGACTCATAAAGTATAGTGTATTCCTCTTTGTGGGTGTGCAACTCACCTAGTAAGTCACACCTAACTTTGACACCATGCATTCTCTAGAAAACTTATTAAATCGGCAATAGCCCTGAAACCTCAATTACTATCTGCATCTACATCCTTGATATACTTAATGCATGCTTTCAAACCAATAGGGAGAGCATCAACATATGCAACAGATGTTCCTAGTCTATTAATTTATATTTTTCCTTTCACATTCACTTATCATCCCCTTCACACGTCGCTTCTTCCTTGCTTGGACAAAAGGTAATGTCGTTAGTTGAGTGTTCTTGATGAGTAACTATCGTGCCCAAATTCAACCAACTCATATACACACGGATTACGACGGGATAGAGACATTGATCTTCTTATGTCCTTGATTGCATGTATTGAGTTTAACATCTAACTGAATTAGGACATCTCTATTTTTTAACGTAACTAAAATCTCTTTCGGTCTGACTAGAGGTGTGTATGGTCCAGTTTGGCTCGATTTGAGATGAAATCAAGACCAATTTATTATCTGCGATTCTATAAAAATTAAAACCAAACCATCAAAATCATGCAACCAATCAGAACCAAATCATTTAAACACGGTTCGATTCTGTATAAAATCACAACTTCACATAATCTGTTCGTAAGAAAAAAATTATATAAATTTTCAAAAAAAATCAACATATCATTTTAAAAATAATAGTAACATACCCATCAAACAAACTACTCTCATAATGTTCACCAGTTAAACAAAAACATAACATTAAGCAAACATATTATTGAATATTAATCTGACATAATTTTTCAAAACGTAAACTTGCCTATTGTTCAACCATTAATTTAAACAAACATAACATCTTCCTTCTTCTTTTTTTCGATACTTTTGAATGAAAATTACAGCAAAGAAACTACACCTTTTCCATAGAAAGGCCAATCATATCAGCCACCAACAAGCTTCGGATCACCTCTGGTAGATCATTTACTACCATTAAATCATTGGGCTGCTCTGCCCCGAGTTTGGCAAGCGCATAAGCACACCCATTGCCTTCACGGAGAATGTGTTGAATTGAGCATTCACAACCTTGAAGAATGACTCGTCCATCTTCAATCAGACCTCTGAAAGAGCAGTTTCTATCTGGGCCTTCCTCCATTAGCTCGACAACTTGCGCTGCATCAGTCTCAACTGTCACCTTAAGTCATCCAGCGTTGTAGGAGTATTGTCGGTCCTTTGTACACTGCCCATATCTTAGCTTCCAAGCTGGTACAATTTTCCAACCTTCCGTAATAGCAGCTGATCCAGCTGCCTGCTTCATCGCAAAAAAGGCCTCCAAATCCTCCAAATCCTCCAAGTCCAGATCTGCCTCCACTGCTTCCGTCAGCGTTCAACTTGATATTACCTGATGGGGAAAACCTTCAATTATATGTTTGTACAATTTTTGTTTCAAAAAATATGGAATCTAAGAGGTTTTTATATGACTTGTATTTCAACCATGAGGGCAAGGTTGATTTTAAGGGGGTTAGGAACAGTGGCGAAGGCAGGAAATTACGGGGGCATTATTAATTATAATTTTTTATTTAAAAAAAAATTATGATCAACATTAAGATAATAATAATTTTATGAGTTAAATTTAAGTATAAAAAATTACATATTCATTATTAATAAGAACAAATTAAAATTCTAGTGTAGAATAGCTCAGTATAGAATGGTGATGTAAGTTTGCAATTTTAGCACAAAAAATTATGAATCAAAATTCCTAATTTTAGAAAATAAAAACGCAATTCTTTATAGTACAAATTATTATAAAATCTCTTTAATTTTTATTTGACAAAAAAATATTAAAGAGATGACATTGCTTATAAATAATGTGCTTTGAATGAAAATTATTAAACATTCTTAACATATCATATAACATTGCTTACGTGATGTTAAAAGTATGAGAAATCACACAGTAATATGTATGGTTAATTAATTTTTAAAATTCCTTTCAATTTTTTTTCTCTCTCTCCTCTCTTCTCTTTTTTTTTTTATTTTTATTATTAATAATAAATCAATCAATCACTTTTTCTATCTCTTCTCTCACATTCTATATCTCAATCAATTAAATTTTCTCACACACATATAATCACAAAAAAAAAAGAAAAGATAAATAAAAAAATTCAAATCATCCTAAAATTATTTTCAAAACTTATAACCAAATAAATTTTTCAATTTTTAAAACTCTTATCAACCACTTATCTTTCAAAATACAACTCAAAACTCAAAATTCATTTCAAAAACTAATCAACCAAACGGAGCTTTATGCTGTGTTTGGTTGGGAGATTTAAGAAGGGATTTGAAAAAGAAAACAGAAAAGGTGTGTGAAACTATGTGAAATATAAGCATGTTTTATTCACATTTCACCTACCTTTTCCATTTCACTTTCCAAATCCCTCTCCAAATCCCCTAACCAAACACAACATTAATGTCCTTCCAATAGGTTTTTTTACTTGCCATTGTTATTGAAATTTTCAAAAAGTTGTCGTTGATTTGTTATTTTTTTTCCCCACATACCATTGAAACCTAATTGGGATAAAAGAAATTCAATGCACTATGTTTGGTTAAATTTTGTCTTCTATTTTTTTTTTTTTAAAAAAAAATTAGGATTGGAGAAATTCAATTCACCATTTTGGTTGAACTTTGTCTTCTATTTTTTATATTAAAATAAAAAGTGGTAAATTGAATTTCTCTTGTCCTAATTTTTTGTAACTATTTCTAATGCTAATGTAACACTCCCAATTTTATTATTTTGATATTTTCATAAATTCATTATAGAAGTCCCTTTCCAAATTATAGTTATGGAAGTAAAACAAGCTGAATAGAATAATTAAGATCCACTCTCGCATAAATATTTACAATAGACGAACAACATTATCTCCATAACACGTTAATCTTTCATCTACAATCTCTATAAGAAGGACTCATAATGAAATAAATAATTCCTTGAACTTTAAACTAGTGTAGCTGACCCTGACAATATCATCCAATTCTTTGTAGAATTATTCCACACTTTAAACCTCCAACACAAATCCACCATGTCATATATATTTACACAATTCTGTAGCCAAACAACAAATATAACATAATTAACAACTGACTTCATTAAGCCAATCCAACGCAGTTTGCCAAATACTAATCAAAAGGAAAGTTGGAACCTATCTCAAAGCGCCACACTTTACTGGTAGTTAACCGGAAGGAATGCAGAACTTCTATAAAGTCCAACAGTCCATACGCTTTACCAGGCGTTACTTCAGAAGGAAGGCAAAACCTCTATCAAGTGCCACGTTTTACCGGTCCCAAGATAGAAAGAAACGGACCCTCTTTCCAACATTTTAACCCATCAATTCCTCATATCATTCATCATTTCAATTTTGTAAAATTATACGAAGAATACACTACACATATAACGCGTTCTACAATCAACCAATACTATCCTCCACCGATGGCCAAGGACAAAACCTACACATATTTAATAATAATAATAATATAAATTCACCTCGATAAATGAATATGATTATTCACAATATTTCCATACTGCAATATCAACAATCTTTTTTTTAAGTTACATCCTCGTTTAGCGACTACATATTTTAGTCAAAAAGTCACTATAAATTGTCACATTACTCTCTACTTTTCTACACATCTTTTTGTAAGAAGTAAAAAAAGTTATTAAAATAATATGTTCCCAAGCGAGTTGTAATTGCCAATTTCCAAGATGTGAACTAATGTTCACCATAATTATTCTCGTAACAATTAACAACCAACATTTGTACTCAATTCTTTTAAATATCAACCCAATTTCATGCTTTAAAGACCAATTGAAACAAACTTCTTCTTTAGAGTAAAGTTCAAGACTAAGGTTTGGATAAAATTTAGGATTTTTTACCATAAAGTATACAAACATGTTCCAATGGCTCAAAACTTCCATAATCTACTACGAACCATAAGTTTAACTCCTTTATTCGAAACCCCTAACCTTCCTCTACATACTTTTCAAGAAACTCTCTTGCAGTATTGTCACAATCCCAACCCACTCCTAAAGGTTAGCGTGGTGACTGGCCAGTAATCATAAATTACCTACGGCCTCTTAACCAAATTAGAAAATATTTATTTGATAATGGGGTCTAAAGCGGAAATAAAACAAAAATAACATTGTCTATTGAGTTGTGCATACATGATATAAACCAAAATATTTAAAACATTTTATAACACACTTAAAATATATAAAAACGTTTATCTTATACATCCTAAGATCACACATATGACTTAGCAAAACTTCGACAAACCAAAGCTTAACACAGCTTGACCAAAAGCAAAAGGTAAAGCCTCAATATAGAGGCACATCTTCGGATGGCTTGACCAAACGGGCGGACCTCAAGCAAACTCTAATACTGATCTTCCTAATGCTCGCCTGTATATATAGGGAAAGGGGATATGGTAGAAGCCCAACGAGTAACATCAATGTAAAAAGTTAATGAAGGAGTTCTAGAGTTATAAAAACATTCTTATCATGATCAAAACATTGTTCAAAAGTATGTACTATATAAAGTTCATCAAATATTTCATAATTAAACACATTACGTTATTCAAAGGCGTATTGTTCAGAACCTTATCAACCCTTTCAAAGATTATCAGATGATGGGCTAATTCCCAATAGCATTTAACAGAACAGACGGAACAGAACAGAATGACCTTTCCTCCAATTCATGGTAGAACAATCTCTAGTCCAATATATATAATGCCCAGTAGCATTTAACAAAACAGACAGAACAGAATATAATAGAACTTGACAAAAAGACCTTTGGTCTAACATGTGTATTCTAATGAAGAATTCATTAGTAGATGCCATTATGGATAAACAAAAGGAAAGCTCATTCATTCATAACAAATAACATTTTAGAAAAATCATAGCATTTCATATCATTTCAGAAAATCATTATACGAAAATATCTTTATAAAGACATTACTCGCAGTAATGGTGTTTCTCCTCAAAGATTCATCCTACACAATTCACACAAACACACACACTGAAGCACAATATTCAATCGGATTTATTTCTCTTCTAATCAATTTGCTTAAGTCGGTTTCTAATTTATTAATAACCAACGAGGCTTAAATCTTGCCTAAAGATACTCAGAAAAAGAAGAGAATGAAAGTACGAACACAAGAGTGCTTTTTAAGTTTTTACTGAAAATAGGGTGACCACTCGAGTGGTGAACGTGAGTTCAGAGTATTTCAGTCTACAAAAATATATTCTGGAAGGTCTCAACATTCACTTGAGCGGTGACTTTACCGCTCGAGTAGTTTGAAGAATTTCAGTATTCTGAATTTTATAAAAATGGCTTCCAAACGCATTTTCAAAACTTAGGTTGATATATGATTCAACTTAAATATATATGAACCCATGACTAATTTTCAAATCCTCATACAAAAACCTCCTTGATTTGTTAATATTAAAACTAAAATTTCATGAATATAATGATTCCAAGACTTTTCTTCCTTTCTTACATTGTGTTTGGTTGGGGGATTTGGGAAGGGATTTGGAAAGTGAAAGAGAAAAGGTAGGTGAAATGAGAATAAAATATACCTACATTTCACTTAGTTTCACACATCTTTTCTCTTTCCATTTCCAAATCCCTCCCCAAATCCCCCAACCAAACACAGCATAAGTGTGTCATGTGTTGATTTTGTGTGAGTTCCTAACAGAATCATAACGGAAGGAGTAAAGTGTAACAAGATAATACTGTGAAGTGATTATCTGTGGAGTTTTGAAGTTTAACAAGTCAGTTCTTGCTCAAATCCAATTAAAATCATTCATTATATATCCAAGTAGGATCAAAATTAAGCAGGGAGAATAAAAGGCCTGCTCAAATTTGTACCAGTCAATAATAATACATGTTTCCCAGCCTAGAAAACCCAATCTTCTTGGTTATTCTGATGTAGGCCAATGTTCAACATACTACTAATCTAGATTCAGTTCAAACAACAACAAAAGTTTCCAAGAAATAGAAACTTTGGCATCTATCTTAGGGTACCCTATGAGTTGTTTATTATTAAATACTAGAGTTTAGACAAAATTCAACTGAAAACTATATATTTCACATGAATTAATGTTGAGCATGTCTAAGATACATGGATTGGGGACAAACCTGAAAGAGGTCACAAACATGAGCTACCTTGAAAAATTGTAGACATGTCTCTTTGGTGTTGGATACTATTTGAAGCATACCAACGCAATTCTCCTCATAAAACCCTGGTTCACGCACAGGCATACACAGGCAACCACAAATATGTAAAAGCACCATTACCGTCTGTTGGCACATAAATTTTAAACCAAATTTATGTTTAAATTTCAAATACAGTCAATCACACACATAGAGCCTACGATAAGATTGTTGTAGGAAATCACTTCCCAAAATGATTAACTTGCTCCATTGAAGTGTATAAATAAAACAACGTCGTATCTTAATAACGTTATTCAAGATGCTCAAATGACACGTGGAGCCTACGAAAGATGACACATGTAGAGCCTACAGCAAGGACACCGCACAGGATGAAACCCCAAAGATCAATCCGGTTAATTAGATATATGATTGATCAGATAGCGCTATTATTCAAAATTCAAACAGGCGCTATCATTCAATTTGAAATTCAAAATGAAGATGAAGCGTTCCTATCACCTGATGGCCCTCCATAAATATGAGGACCATCACACAAGACCGGGGGATCAGAAAAATCATAAGTGGAAAAGAAGAGAGAGAGAGAGAGAGAGAAAGAAATTGAGAGCTAAACAAATCGTTACAAGAAAGAAGAAGAGAAGCTTAGAGAACTCAAGAGTCTACGCTAATGGCGATGAATAGGTAAAGGGTTCCAAACCCAAACTGTATTTTGTATTCGAGGGTTCAAAACCCATAACAATCTTAATAAAATATTTCTTTTTTTTAAATTGTCTTTTGTTGTTTATTTTGTTCTTCATTAATCGGAGGTTTCATTTGTATAAAATGTGTAATTAACGATCTGAAATACAGATCGGAAATAAGAACCTGCTATTCAAATAATCAACACTGTTTAGTCCAAAAAACTAAACAGTAGACATTTGTAACGTAAAATTTTGAAATGTGTTAAAACACTTCACGTTTTAAAATTTGTGTCTACAAATTCTAGCACGCCCAATGGGACTTATTTCTCCTCCCATCTTTTGAAGAACAAAATATATATATATATATATATAGTTAAAACTTACTGACGTATTCTTTTGTTATAGGAATGCTGAAGTAACTGTCAAGCGACAAACCTACGCTCCAGTGGTTCTGAAATCACCAAGGGTAGAGATAGCACCCATCACCCAAGGGGCTCCGGACCGAATGCTCTTGGCTGTCCCAAAGGTAGAACAGCAAAATCCTGGAAAGATGCGCTTCTTTCCCCTATCACCCAAGGGGTTTCGGAGCAAAATCTCTTGGCTGTCCCGAAAGGAACTGGTGTGACGAAGAAGGTCACACTTCTCCAGAAAGTTGAAAGTTTGAGAAAGATTACCGAAGATTATGTGAAAGCGTCAAAGCAGTACGCAACCGTGAGGGCCACAGCCCGAATGAAGAGCTTTCTAATTCAGGCAAAAGAGGCTAATCAGTTTGCAATTACGACTTTTGTTACAGCTTCAACGGGGGCAACGAAAAATGTTGTGGCCCAACTACTCAAAAGGGTAGAAGACTCCATTAAAATGGTGGAGTTTGCCCAGAAGAAAGCTTCTGTTGAAAACATGGCCATCATTAGGGCCATTGGGAGGAGGGTAATGACCCAAACTCCTGTTGATGGAAAAAAGGCCCCTTGTTGTTGAAAAAATAGTTGCTGCCTACGAACCGATAGTTCTGTTCAGAGCATAAAATCGGTCAAACCAAATCTCAGTCAACTCTCAGGAGCCAAAGGAACACTCGTTGGCTCGACAAGGTTTGAATAAGGAACACCCGTTGGCTCGACAGGGTTCAAATAAGGAACACCCGTTGGCCCAACAGAATAAGGAACACCTGTTGGCTCGACAGGGTTCAAATAAGGAACACCCGTTGGCCCAACAGAATAAGGAACACTCGTTGGCTCGACAGGGTTCGAATGAGAAACACCCGTTGGCCCGACAGAATAAGGAACACCCGTTGGCCCGACAAGGTTCGGATGAGGAACACCTGTTGGCCCAACGGGATTTGAATCAACATCAATTGACCAGCTCTAAAAATGCATGTTTTGAAAATTCACGAGGAATTTACAAAGGCACAAACGGTTCCTTCTATGCCCTTAGGGGCTCGACTTGATATGTCATCCGGTCCTGTTTCGAAAAGACAAAGGCGAAGAAGAAATAAGGCCTTAAAGAAACTAGAACTAAGAACAGTGGCAACAAATGTTATAGGAGCTATTGAAAGGGCTCTCTCGAAAGATGAACCCCAAAAACAAATTGAAAGTCCTATCTTTGTTGGAAAATCCAAGGTGGATGAGGGTAAGCAACCCTTGAGAAATATTTCTACTTTGGTTGAACTATCTATGGAGGGAATAAGAAAAGGGCCTGTGACAAGGTCCATAACCCGTCAGGCTCAAAACAAAGCATCGCAGTCAGATGCTTCAAATATGAGTAATGTTGTGGGGGTTGATAATCCTTTTATACGAACAAGATGATTCTAGCTCGTTTGTTTCAACGGATATTGGAAACAATGAATTGAGAGATATCAACAAAGTCGCAGTTATGATGACTGAGGTTGAGAAAGAAGGTGAAAATTCGCAGGCCCAACAAGACCAAGGTCTCAAGGAAAAAGTGGTGACCCTACGAGAACAACTTGAGAGAAAAGAATGGGAAATGGCTGCTATGTTGGAGCAAATGCAACAGCTGCAGGCCCAAATGACAGGACCAGGAAGTGCATCCAAACAAATGGCACAACCTGTTGTGGGGACATCTGTAGGCATACAAAGTACACTAGCCCCAGGGGGCAATGGTCCTTGTTACTCTGATCTAACCAGTGGTGGTATGAATCCATTGCTCATGGCCATGATTGATGATATGGTGAGGAGACAAGTAAAGAAAGTCAAAGAAAAAGATGATGAGAACTTTCGAATAATTACAAAACCTTACCCAGCATGGGTAGATGCTGTTTCATTCCCTTCTGGTTTTTCCCAACCACATTTCATAATGTTTGATGGAACAGGAGATCCAAGACAACATGTGGCTCATTTTCTTTCAAGGTGCGGGCCAATAGCCCAGAATGAGGCCCTGTGTCTGGAGCTATTTGTTCAATCACTCGAAAGTTCTGCGTTTACTTGGTATGCTAACCTTCCTGAGGGATCAATCCTAAATTGGGATTCCATGGTGAAGGAGTTCCTTAAACAGTTCTGCAACACACAAAGGCGAGTTGGAGTACCAAAACTGATTGAGACCAAGCAACGTGATAATGAGTCTGTTACAGATTTCATTGCAAGATGGCGCGCTTTGACATTTGCTTGTCCTCAAAAGTTTACACAATTAGAGTTAATTCGGATGTGCCTTAACAACTTTCGACACGAGCTCTCTACGGCTCTTATGGCTCAAACTTTTGAAGGATCCAATGATCTATGCACTAAAGCTCATGATATGAAGTTGCATCTAGCTAAACGAAGGAGGCCTAGGGCTGTTGAAAGGGTTGAGTCCTCGACTGCAGCTACAATCGAAACCAAAAAGAAGGGTCCCGTTGTAGTAGGGGCTAAAAAGCCCAAGGAATTTAAAAAAGTGACTATGAAAGAGAGGTTGGAGAAAACATATTCTTTCATGGATGATCTGGTCGAAGACCTATTTGAAGATCTGTTGGAGCAAAAGATGATTGCTCTCCCTGAGGTGAAAAGACCACATGAGGTAGGAAAGACCAATGATCCAAAGTATTGCCCCTACCATCGTTTGATTAGTCATCCGATAAAAGAGTGCTTTGTTCTGAAAGATAAAATTCAAGAACTTTTGGACTCTAAAATTATTGAACTCCCTCCTCAAGAGAAAGCATCTGCTAACCCAATCACTATCGACAATGATAATGAAGGTGAATGGGTTGTTTATCAGTCAAAAAGCATGAAGAAAAAACAAAATGCCACAGTGAAAGCTAGAAGTGTGGTTGATTCAACAACACAAGGGCCAAAAGTTTCCAAAAAGCAAAAACCAAAAGTTTCTAGGAAACAGAAAAAAGCCAAAGTAAGTAAGAGAAAAGGAAAGAAGAATCCAAACAAAGAAAAAGGGGAAAAATTGGTCCCTGATGAGCAGTTAGAGCAACGTCCTCTTGTCCCAATCACATTGGAAGAATTTCTACCTTCAAAATTTCAATCTGTGGAGTTGCAGACATACTTTGATAAAAGAAGGGAGGAAAAGTTTATTTTGGCCCCTTGCCTAACCATCATTGTTTTGAGTGATGACGAAGAAGATGAGGGTGAAGTTGGTTCAAAAGTTAGGGAAGGAGATTGCATTACATCTCCTATCTGCATACTTGACTCACCAGAGTATACACCAACTTCTCCAGAATACACACCAGCTTCACCAGAGTATACACCACCTTCTCCGGAAAGCACAACAGAAGCCTTTTCTCCAAAATATTCGCCAGTACCACCAATGTACTATCAAAGCACTCCAGAATATGTAAGGGGAACAGAACAAAGAGACACTGGGTGTAGGTCCGACTCTGAGCTTGTAAAAAAGGCGAAAAAACGACTACACTTCAAGGATGATGAGGTGAATGGCAGGTGTAAGTCGGATGATGAAGTATGGAAGCATTCAAGTAAACAAGTAAAGTCATCTCAAGTTAAAGATCCTAATGAAGATTGGGAACTTGACTTTTCCCCTGATGATTCACCATACACATCCCCAGCTAGGACATACGATGGAGAAAGTGTATCAAGTGACCACTTTGACTTTCCTTGTAATGTCATCACTGTGGACGCAAATTTTGAAGAGCGAGAAATACATATCATTCGCAATCCAGGTGATGATGAGAAAGCAAAAATTGAAGCTAGAAAGGAAACAGAACATCAGGAAAAAGTAACAGTCTCTTTGAAAGATGAGGGTTTTGAAGCCCATCAAAATTCGAGTATTAAAAGAAATCAAATTTCTGGACACCCTTTCCCTAATTGGGTCGAATGGGTTCAGTTCCCACGAGGATATGCAGTACCTCGTTTTCCTTCATATAATGGGACAGGTTGTCCAAGGCGCCATTTGGTTCGTTTCCTTGCACAATGTGGAAAGACAGTAAAAAGCCAAGCGTTACTTCTACGGCAGTTCGTTCTTTCTTTGGAAGGATGGGCAGGGGATTGGTACTTCAG